ACTAAGTAACACTAAACTTTTCTTAATAGGTTTGTTGTTGACAATGGCATTGGTATATCGACTTCAAAATTGTTTTGCTATTTATTATTATGACAGAAAAAATGAATAGATACATAGATATTGTGAAGCAGAGACTACACTAGGAAAAAATGAAGACAATCTATGGAATAGGAAAGTGAGGAAAAATCCCCTAGTATTGGATTTGACTTGGAGATGTCAGCATACAGACTTGTAAAAATCAACTTTATTGAAGTATAACTTATCTAACAAAATTCCAGATTTTAAGTGCACAGCTTTGATAAATGTATATATACTGTAACCACTAGACCTTTTTTGTTTTTTGTTTTTTTGAGACAGTATCTCACTATATAGTTGAGACTGACCTGGAATTCACTATGTAGCCCAGGATGGTCTTGAACTCACAGAGATCCTCCTGCCTCAGCCTCCCGAGTGCAGGGATTACAGGCGTAAGCCACCATCCCCACTACTTTCTTTTTTCTTTTTTTTGGTTCTGGGGATTGAACCAAGGACCTTGTACATGGTAAGTATGTGGTCTACCACTGAGCTACACCACAGGCGCTAACATACAAAATTTTGAGGTGAGAGATGGGACACAACATAGTGCATAACAAAGTCTATCACTTTGTTATTTGTTTTCCATTTGTCCTGTATGTTCTTTTTTGCTCTTTTGTTCTTTTCCTGAATTATTTTGAGGAACTGACTATAAGCAATATGTGTACAAGTAATTTGATATTCAATATATATAATTGCATATTTCAATATATAACTGTATATCAACTATTTAGAACATATATAGAATATAATTAGTATTATATTGTATTTACTCTATTTGACTTTAGCTATACCTCTTTATTTGAGCTGCTCTAGAAATTATAATATGCATCACTAATTTATCAGAGTCTAATTGCACTTCTTGAGATTTCACAAATGTAAGGAACTCACAATCATATAATTTTATTTACTCCTCCACTTTGTGCTATTATTATACATTTTACTCCTGCATACATCATGAACTATATCTTACACTAATAATACTTTTGCTGCAAACAATCATTTGTCTCCTATGGGGATTAAGAGAAGAGAAAAAGCTGTTCTTTTCTATTTATCCAGATAGTATCATTTCCATGGCTCTTAGTTCCATCCAATTGACCCAAGTTTCCAAATTTCCTCTTACCCTGAATAACTCCCTTCAGTATTTCTCACAGTACAAGCCTGCCCATAACAAAGTCCTTCATCTTTCATTTTTCTTTTCTTTTTTTGTTTTGTTTGTTTTGGGTTTTGTTTTTTTTTTGGTACCCGGGATCAAACTCAGGCCCTTGTGCTTGCAAGGCAGGCAGCAGAACCACTGAGCCAAATCCCTGGCCCTACTTTTTTGTTTTTTGAGACAGGGTCTCACTATGTAGTTGAGATTGACCTGGAACTCACTATGTAGTCCAGGCTGGTCTCGAACTCACAGCGATCCTTCTGCCTCAGCCTCCGGAGTGCTGGGGTTACAGGCGTGCTCCACCACGCCAGGCTCATCTTTCATTTTTCTAAAAATGTCTTTATTTCTCCCTTGGAGAAAGATACTTTCATTGAATATAGAACTCTTGCCTTAAATTCTTTTCCTGTTAGCATTTTAAAGGTGATTCTATTGTTCATGCCCCTTTCCGCTGCCAACTCTTCTTTTTCAATCTTATTTTAACCTTATCCCATAGATTTTTCATTTTTAGATATTGCTCTTTTCAATACTGATATTTCTTTTCTTCTTTTTTTGTGGGGGGAGGGGGCAGTTGGGGATTGAACCCAAGGCCTTTACATTGAGCTATAACCCTAGCCCTTATTTATTTATTTTTGGTCCTGGGGCTCGAACTCAGGCTCTTGAGCTTGTGAGGCAGGTGTGGCACCACTGAGCTAAATCCCTAGCCCTCTTTTTTATTTTCCTATTTTGAGCCAAGGTCTTGCTCAATTGCCCAGGCTGGACTTGAACTTGCAATCTTCCTCATCAGTCTCCTAAAATACTACGATTATAGGCGTATGCTACTAGGCCTAGTTTGGAATTCTAGTTAATTGTAACAGTTTCAGTTTCTTTCCTGAGATTCCCATTAAGACCACCATATTTTTCCTTAACAGCTGTTTGAGGGACTGTCCACTAATTTCAATATCTGGGTCATCTCAGGGTATGTTTCCACTGACCACTTTTTTCCTAATTTATGGGTCATATTTTCCTCCTTCCTTGAATGACTAGTAATTTTTTATTGTATGCTGGGCTTGTCTGCATAATACTTTCTTTTAAAGAACAGTGAATTTAGGGCCGGGGATTTAGCTCAGTGGTTCTGCCACCTGCCTTGCAAGCACAAGGACCTGAGTTCAATCCCCAGTAAAAAAAAAAAAAAAAAAAAAAAAAAAAAAAAAAAAAAAAAAAAAAAAAAAAAAAAAAAGAACAGTGAATTTTGTTCTGTCAGGCAATTCATGTCTAGCAATTCTCCTTAATCTCATTTGTAAGACTTAGTTTTAGGCCCGGTTGAGAGTAGCCCTCACTCTGTATGAGCAGTTAGCAAAGAACTAATCATTGTAATGAGCCAGACAGTAAATATTTTCAGCTTTTCACTCTGTCACTATGGTGTAAAATCAGACACTGATAATATGTAAGCAAATACTACCTTATTCCACCTGTGGTGGGCCAGACTGCTCTAGTCACTATCCTCTCCACTGTTTTACTGATGTCTCAGCCCAGTGTCCAGGATATTAATGCAGCATAGAGAGATCAGAACTCAAACTCATCCATTCTAGTGAGGCCAAAACTCAAACTCTCCCAGAACTGTGTGAACTTCAGTATCTCCAATCCACTCCCAACACCACAGCAGCAGCAGCAGCAGCTCTTCTGCTGGTCTCACACAGTCTCACCATGTGTGTGTGCAGCCCAGCCTTCAGCTAAGGATTCATAGACAACTCACATGCAGACCTGGGTGTCTTCCCTGTGCACAGCACCTATCTCTCTGGCCTTTCGTCTCACAATTTCTACCTGTCCTTGGGGAGCCCTCATCACTGAGCTCTGCCCAACCAGCTCGATAGAACTGTTGTGTTCTGCCTGGGCTCCACCTCTGTCCTGTGGTCAGCAGCAAATTGTCTCTAGACAGAGATTTGAGGCCAGAGTTAATGTAGAGCTGACCTCCAGTTCTTTTCTCTCAGTAGTCAGTTTTGCCTATTGTTTTTTGTTTGTTGGGTTTGTTTTGTTTTGTCTTGTTTTTTGTACTGGGGATCAAACTCAGGAACTTGCACTTTCAAAGCAGGCATGATGCCACTGAACTAAATCCCTGGACCGCCCTTACTTTGTTTTTGAGACAGGGTTTTGTTATGTAGTTCAGGCTGGCCTTGACCTCCCAATGATCCTCCTGCCTCAGCCTCCAAAGTGCTAGGATGACATGTGTGTACCATCACATCCAGCCCACTTCTGCTTTTGATGAAATCTAATCATAATCCTTGTATATTTTACCCAGTTTTATAGTAGTATACAATGGGAGGGCTCTGATATAGCAGCAGGAAGTGGAGAGGGAAGAGATGACTAAACAAAGTTGAGGAGGAGGCTAACAATGAGCAGGAAGGCAATGTGGGCCAGAGAGAACTGGCAGCAAACCGTGCTGCGGTGATAGCCTATGGGGCTTGCTCTAAGCCAGTCCCACCCATCACACAGACCCAGGTGGGGGCAATTTCTGCTTATCAGCTTGGGCCATCCTACAGATCCCAAAATAAACCTATCTGTTGCTCCAAAATGCTTACTCTGTCCAGTTGCACTCAGTTTGCCTCCCAAAGTCCCATTTCTGTGTTGAAAAGAGCTTCAGCCCAGTATAGGAGCATTTGGGAAGAAGAGATCATCAGCCCATGGACAGAGCAGGAGGATTCATCTAGCTGAGCCACCAGGGGAAGCTGTGGAAAAGGGTGCTGGCCTTCCCAGAATGTGAAGTCTGCCAAACCAAGAGATGTGCTGTCTAGGAAGACAGGCAGCTACTGTTCTGGGTAAACCCACTCAGCTCCAAGCCTCCTTAAGCCAGATGAGGACAAAACATTTAGGATGCATATCATCAGCTTCTTCTCCCCACCCTACCCTCTTTCACCCAAACCTGTCCCACCCTTCACAACTGTCTCTGGCTTCAGTTAGGCTGACAGGTGGGAGATCTCTGACCTGCTTTAGCCTGGGCTTATGCTTCCTATGCCCTTTCCTGTCATGTATACTCTATACCTGTACTTCTGTGGCTCCCTGAGCTCTGCCAGGGATGTCAAGAGTAGAGTGAGGCATTACTACCCATGCCAATCTCACCAGGCAAACTTTTGCTAACTCTTGCTTACCTAGTGGAGGAACAGCTTTCTTATTCTTGGTCCTCTAGTCCAGATACAGAACTCCCTAAAGTATCTCAGCTATCCAGGAAAGCTGATAGGTGAGGGCAAACCTAGTGGAACCAAAGGGAGGAGCACTTGATCTTGGATAGGACCTGTTACCATGAGAACTAGTTCACACGTAGCAAGGGCACAGAGGGAGAGAATCCTCTAATCTGTCTGGTGACAGAGAGTCACTGGGTTGGGCTGCAAAGCTGAGAAAAATGAGCAGGAAATTCTAGCTGAAATAGAAAAGGAGAAGGAAAGGCTGTTTCAGGGTAGTAGAGGACTGTGACTTCCTCAGTGAGCAGGTGGTATCCTTTCAGTGACAACAGAGGCAGGAAAGACTGCTAGTTCCAATGCCATCATTTAGCTTTCTGACCTATAACCTAATAACTCAGACCCTCATATGGAAGAATGAAAATCATAAAACAAGATCTTCCTATTGCTGAGATCACACATAAGTGACAGTGCTTGGTAAATGATAAAGGACCAATATGCTGACACAGACCTCCACAGTAGTCACTGAGCTGTCATAACTTCCTCTCAGGCACCAGGCTTGGAGTTACTAAGTTTCTCACGAAACTTAGCTGCAAAGGAGTCCTGACAAACCCGAAGGCACTTACCTGCAGTCAGTGAAGTGGCACCTAATTACAGAGGCAGGATGAAACATAAGATCTGGGCTCCAGGTACAAGCACAGGCTGTTGGAGAAAGGAAGAGCTTGCCTTGGCTCTTGTCTCTAGCAAAAGCAGCACATGTGGCCCCCGAGATCCTGAACCACCCCATATCTAAGGACAAAAAAAAAAAAAAAGCCATCAGTTATACTCTATATTCCCGTCCCCCTGGTTGTACCCACTTATCTTCCTCTCTCAGCTTCCTTGCTTTGAGAGTGACTGCGTCTGCAGAGCAAGAGAAATCTAGATTGGAATCTAGACCTTTGATGAGTTAAATAGGCCTTGTCCTCAATCTCCTGTACTTGTGTCCTCCTCAAGAAACACCTCCATCTGGGATCCTCATGTAGGACTCCCCTCTATGGGTTATTGCACATCTGTCTCTGAGAGTTCCCCTTCAGTGCTAGCTTCTGAGCAGGACCAGACAAGGAAAAAACCCCAAAAGTCAGCCTCAAGATGAAGTGACTAAAGCCAACTTCATTTCTTTGCAGCTGCTGCAGGTCTTAGTAATCTACTGGTAAGATGGACAGTTTCCCACTTCCAGGTGGATGACTGATGGGAAAGAAATGTTGCTGGAGCCAGGCATGGTGGCGCACGCCTGTAATCCCAGCACTTGGAAGGTTGAGGTAAGATGACTGCCATGAGTTTGAGGCCAACCTGGGGTATGTAGGGAATTCAAGGTCAGTCTGAACTATATAGTGAGAACCTGTCTCAAAAAGAAAAAAAAAAGTCACTGGGGAGAAATGGGCTATAGAAAAGGAGAAACAAGAATGAACACCAGAGCCTAAGGAGTAACCATTACTGGTCCTCAAGAATGATTTGTGACCCTAGGCTTGTGGCTCATCAGCTCAGCTCAGGGAAAGAGGCTCACAGACCTTACTCTCCATTTATAAGATTTTGTTCATTAGGCTCACTTTAGCTGGTACTGTACTAAACAGGCCAACAACATGGACTTTACCATGTAATCATCTGCTTGTCCACATTCTTTAAAAAAATGTTTTGTTTTGTTTTGCTCTTTGGTGGTACCTGGGATCAAACTCAGGACCTTCCATTTGGGAGGCAGCCATGGTGGCACTGAACTAAATCCCTGGCCCTGCTTGTTCACATTCTTGTGCTACAGGAGTGTCATAAAAAAGCATGTGAAGGTCTGGAGATGAAGCTCAGTGGCACCACACTTGCTTGGCAAGCACAAAAACTGAGTTTGATTGTCAGTACCCATCCCCCAAAAGGCATGTGAAAGCTGGGTGTGGTGGTCCGTACCAGTAATCCTAACATTACCCAGCTCTTGGGAGGCTGAGGCAGGAAGATCTCTGTGAGTTCAAGTCTGGCCTGGGCTATAGAGTGAGTTCAAGACCAGTCTGAACTACATAGCCAGACCATGTCTTAAAAAAAAAAAAAAAGGCATGTGAGTCTAATAAAAGGGCTAGGGTGGTAGAGAGATCCTGTCTTCTTATCTGTGGGAAAGCCACAGGCCCAACTCACTAGTATGTACTGTGTACAAGTCATGTGCCAAGAAGGTAGCAAACACCGATCAAAACCCAATTCCTATCTTCTAGGACCTCACCTACTCAGGGCTACAGACACTTTCCCATGCATCCCAAGGCTGTGGGAAGAGTGCTCTCAGTATCTTTTTCCTCCTTGCTTTATGCACACTTTCCATATGCTCTAGGAGGCTCAATGCTGTCTCATCCTCATTCTCTCATTATAGTGACTCAGCAGTGGCTTCTCCTGCCTCTGAATCTCTGTAACAGTCATCTGGACATGACTCATGATATATCACTTTCTACTCGATTATGTGTTCAGTATAAGTAATTGATCTTCTCTACCGGACCCTATGTTTCTTAAAAGATTTTTAAAAATCTCTTAAGGATTTTATTAGTATGTTTGCAATACATAATGAATACATCCACCATGAGGAGTTGATACATATACATATCACATCTTAGTTCTTTTTATTTCCCCTCCCCTTCATCCATGTTTAGATCCCCATCCTATCTGCAAAAGGTCTACCTCCCTGTTTCCTGTCATCTACAAAGCTTGTTCTATGTATCTGTTACCATTCATCTTGATATGCCAGTCTCATTAGATTAAGAAATGCCTGAAGCTGGGTGTGGTGGTGCATGCCTATAATCCCAGGACTCAGGAGGCTGAGGCAGGAGGATCGCTGTGAGTTGGAGACCAGCCTGGGCTGCATAGAGAGACCCTGTCTCAAAAAAACAAAACAAAACAAAAAAGAAATGCCCGGCAGGGCTGTGGATTTAGCTCAGTAGTTCTACTGCCTGCCTTGCAAGCCAAGGACCCGAGCTCGATCCCGGTACCCCACCCCCCAAAAAAAGCCTGGCAGGTTAGTAAAGCGTGGCCCAGGGTGTACGTTTGGGTGGGCCATGGAGTACGACCTTGGATACTCTATGGTCCCTCCTCCACTCTTTTCTGGCACTTCGTTGTTTTGCTTCCCACCTGTCATAAACTAAACAGCTTTGCTCCACTACACCCTTCCCTGATGAGGTTTCTGCTGTGACTGAATCCTCTGAAACCATAGCTAGATTAAACCTTTCCTCTCATAACTTGTGGGTGCCAGGTATTGTATCTCAGAGATTGGAAAGCTAACTAATATAATGTTTTTATATCCTTCAGATACCCTGCATGGTGCCACACAAATAGTAGATGCTCAAAAGCGCTCATGGAATGGTTTCTACATAAAGATATTTGAAGGATGAAACAAGGCTTGTTTGTGAAGCTACAGAGGTCCCAGATTAAAAGAAATATATTCAATGTTCAGCTGTTTGGTTTGTGCTCACATCTTCTACAGATCTTAAGGAAGGAAAAGTATCTTCCCCATTAAGTGCAGTTGGGTTTTACATCCTCCCTAGATGCTGCATAGTAATGATACAACACAGACCACAGCTGGAGGAGCAGACACACTTCCCTTGAGAATCCAACCTTGGGTGAGAAGACCCAAGCTTCTCTAACTAGCCTATAAAACTGTCCTGCCTAGGAGGACGGATTTGCCCAGAAGTAAAGAAGTGACTTCAAACATTAGGAAAAGGAGCTGGTCTTGCTGGCACATACCTGTAATTCCAGCATTTGAGAAGGTAAGACAGAAAGACTGCCTTGAATTCAAGGGTAGCGCAGGTCTCATAGTGAGTTCAAGGCTAGCCTGAACTATCTAGTGAGGCCCTGTCTCAAATAAATAAACAGAAGGGCCAAGGAATTTTTATTCATTTTGGGTTTTTTTTTTTTTTTTGAAGCAAGGTCACCCTGCGTAGTTCAGGCTGGCCCTGAACTCACTATGTAGCCCAGGCTGGCCTTGAACTCACAGCGATCCTCCTGCCTCAACCTCCAGAGTGCTGAAATTACAGATGTGTGCCACAACGCCCGGCTAGGACTTTTTAAATAAGATAACATTACCAGAAATCTGGGACTTGGGTAGGACTTTATGCAGACACTAGGCTTCTGTACCCTATTTCCCCCAAAATAAGATCTAACTAGAAAATAAGCCCTGGCATGATCTTTCAGGATGCTTGTAATATAAGTTCTACCCCCAAAATAAGCCCCAGTAAAGATCATCAATCAGACATATTTAGTATGTCTGTTGCAACACACAGCAGACTATTTTTTGTTGTTGTTGTTGTTTTGTTTTTTGAGACAGAGTTTCACTGTGTAGTTGAGACTGACCTGGAACTCACTATGTAGCCCAAGCTGGTCTCGAACTCACAGCGATCCTCCTGCCTCAGCCTCCTGAGTGCTGGGATTACAGGTGTGCGCCACCACGCCTGGCTCTTTTTTTTTTGGTACTAGGGATCAAACTCAGGACCTTACACTTGCAAGGCAAGCCGTGGAACCACTGAGCTAAATCCCTGGCCCTGCAGCAGACTATTGAATTATAAAATATTAATATGCAATAAAACATAAATTAATAATATTATTGACATTATAGTTAACCTACAGCTACTACTGACTCATTTTAGTTTCATATTACTACTGATGTGTCCTCAGGACTCATAGATTTCATTTTTTATAAAAACACAAAATATTTATGCTGAATTTTTATTTGTAAATATATTACATAAGAAAAATATATATTTGTAACATTAAAAAACAAAATTAATTTTCAAAATCCTTAGAGTAAAATTTCTTATAGCACTGATTATTACAAACTGGCATTTTACAAGTATCACAGTGAGTAACAGTTTTTCTGTCCTTGCTCCTGGGGCATATGGCAAATCTTTTTCTTTTGCTTTTGTCAGTAGATTGTCTTGGATCATCTGTAACAGGAATCTCCACTCCCAGGATTTTTTGTTTTTGTTTTGTTTTTTGGTACTAGGGGTAGAAATCAGGGGCAACACAGGGGCAGTGCCACTGAGCTAAATCTCCAGCCCTTGCTTTTTGTTTTTTTGAGATAGGGTTTCACTATGTAGCCCAGGCTAGCATGAAACTCTTGGTGATTCTCCTGCCTCAGCCTCCTGAGTGCTGGGATTACATGCCTGAAATTCCCAGGATTTCTGCTGTAAGTTTTCATATTTTTATGGGAACTTTTAAAATAGTCATTCTGTCAGGAGGCTCTATAATGAGACCCTGTCGCAAAAAAATAAGTTATTCTGGAATGCACTTTTCAAAATGTATTGGATCCCTCCAGACCCATCTGTAGCAGCTGTGGGTTAAATGGCAACATAAAAAATAATTAGGTATTTGTAAATATTCAAGCAGGTGCCTTTAGAGGTAAACACCTACATAAACAGATGAATTTAAGACTTATTGCCAAATGAAATGACTGACCAATCAGAGTACAGACACAACACACGAATAAAGTACACACTTGAAAATTTATAGACATGGTTGTATCTAATATGAATCTTCCTAATTCAATATGTTGTGTGTTATAACAGATATATTTAATGCACTCATATGAAATAAATGTTTTCTGAATTTTGGTGCCTGGAATTTTTTTGTCCCTTTTTTGTGGACTTTTTTTTTTTTTTTTGTACCGGGATTGAGCTCAGGTCCTTGCACTTGCAAGGCAGGCAGTGGAACCACTGAGCTAAATCCCAGGCCATTGTTTTTTTTTTTTTTTTTTTTTTTTTTTTTTTGCCATTCCTGTCTGGTAAGTCTTTAATTAACACTTGATTTGATGGAAACTGTAAAGCCTTGTCTGCAAGAGGTTGTGACTTGGGTGAAGAATTCATATAATAAAATCACTGGAAGCTGTGTTACCAATGCACTACAAGCAAGTTATGTGGACAAGAAGAGCTCATTTAAAAAATAGAACACCGGAAAAAAAAAGAGCTCATCTAAAGAAAGCTCTATTTCAGGAAAATGAGGCAGGAGGATCACTATGAGTTCAAGGCCGCCCTGGACTACATAGGGAGACTGTCTCACAGAACCAAAAAACCAAAACCAACATGAACACAAACAAAAACAGGAGCACCCCATTGCTAGACATGAGAGATAGGGCCAATGGTTCTACAGAAAATGGAGTTGCAAGAATTTCAGGCTGGAATTCAGGGTTTGGAGAGTTATGATGATTTTCCAGAAGATGACATGACAATATTTGAATAAATACAGATATTTATACATGAAAAAAATGAGACTTCTCCGGAAAATAAGCCCTACTGCACCTTTTGGAGCAAAAAATAATATAAACCAGGTCTTATTTTCAGGGAAACATGGTGCATGCTTTATCTCGTTTAACGCTTCAAGCCAGGTGTGGTAACACATGTCTGTAATCCCAGCACTGCGGAGGTTGAGTATCCCCGCAAGTTCAAGGCCAGCCTGGCCTACATAGTGAGTTCAAAGCCAGTCTGAGCTTTGAGGGAGAGAAAACCCTCCACTCCCCGCCCCCTACACACACACTCTTAACCTGAGGTGGAACTTTTTTTTTTCTGAACCAGGAAGTGAACTCAAGGCCTCATGCTTGCTAAGCAGGCGCTACACTGCTGAGCTACATCCCTGGCCGTAAGATGGTATTATTGTTACCGCCAGTTTTCAGGAAAGGCTTAGTAGATGTAATAATTACCTACCTGAAGTCACAAATTCATTTCCAACTTTACATCCCAAGATGAGATTCTTGCTCAGAATCATCCCAGTTTGCTTGCTTTCTTTTTTCTTTCTCTCTTTCTCTTTCTCTCGCTTTCTTTTCTCTCTCTTTCTTTCTTTATTCTTCTTGTGCTAAGAATGGCGTAGCAATGAACCCAGGTGTAGGTAAGTAAAGTATATCCCCAGAAGGCACATTAGGATCATCTACTTCAAGCCCTTTATTTTACAGAATAGAGAATTTGGGCTTCGCGAGATGAAGGGATTTGCTTAGGTCACACAGAAGCAACAGAATTCTGAAGTTCTGCAACAGAACTGCAACGGATACAAGACATTCCAGTCCAAGCATCACTGTAACGCGTGGGGTCCAGGGGCGGATGGCACTGAAGCGCAGAGGCGCTGGGAGCTGGCACTTCTGCGGCCCGTCAGAGGCAGAGCCGGGTCCAACCCCAGGCACGCTCCTTGCCTTGCCCGATGCTTCCTCCTCATTCACTCGCGGCACGAACCATTCCCACCGGCTGCCGCGCTCTGCCCGAGGCCCAGGACAGTACCTGTGATCTGCGCGCAGGCCCTTGGCTGAGGGCGAGCAGCCACTGGTGGCAGAGCGAGCAGCGCAGAGCCCGCCAGGGCCAAACACTGGCCTCGCCCCTCCGCGCGGACCCCAGCCCTTTCACCTCAGAGCGCCACGGCCCCAGGAAGCACGGACGCCCCAAAAGACAGTGCCAGCGTCCCCTCAAGCCCCCTATTTTACCGCCTCAGTGGCCTTCAGACCAGGCCATAGCTCCTGTGCACCTCAAGAAGAAAGTAAGTAACAAGGGCCGGGGATTTAGCTCAGTGGTTTCGTGGCCTGCCTCGCAAGCGCCAGGGCCCGAGTTTGATCGGTACAAAAAAAAAAAAAAAAAAAA